GGAGGGTGAACCGCAATGGCACCCACTTTCATCTCTAGGAGACCTGCAATCCCATGCTGTCTACCTAACAGATGGTACTCCTGGATAGGGTAAGGGATCTTTTGAAAATTTTATCACAAATAATTTAACATTCATTGTGTGAACTATTTATAAGAGAAATCTCAGGTTATCCTTCTTGGCCTTTGTGAAATCACTCTTTAGGTTTTGAACTTGTAAAACTGAAGTCTTTGTTCTTATCTTCAACTTACCTGCAGATCTACAATGTTTTATCTCAAATAAATGTCTCAAGGGACAACAAATAATAACAAAATGACTAATTACTGTTGATAGTGTCAAGAGCTGTGAAGAGTCAGATTTCACCCTACTTGCCAGCCAGCTAACAAGTGAGTCTGCCACAGCTTCATGAAAGCTGACAGAAGACGTGAGATACCCGGGTCAGAGACAAAGGACGTTATTAGTCACAGCAGAGCAAGCAACATGGCTTTCATGTTCAGGTCCCTGCTAGGCCCCATGTGGGGTACAGAGAGGCAGGTTCATGTGGGTACTACACACAGTAAGTTGGCATCACAGCTGAGGGACCTCAAGCTTAGGAAACCCCGATGTTTTATTAATATAAGGGGCCTATACACAAACCTGTCTAAACTTTGCCTTAAAGAGAGGCATATCTTTATTGTAATGGATAGCAAACAAATATGCCCCTTGCCCTGGAGGGGGACACTACCTCAATCTTCCAAAACTTTTGCTGTAGAAAAAATTCTTGATAAAGGGGTGGGGAACCTATGGCCTCAAGGCCACATGTGGCCCTCCAGATCCCCAAGTGCAGCTCCTCAACTGAATTCAAACTACAGAACAAATCCTTTTAATAAATTTGGATTCAGTCAAAGGGCCACACTCAAGGATCCAGAAGACCACGTGGCCCCAAGGCCTCAGGTTCCCCACCCCTTTCTATCTTTCAGTGGAATTAAATGAGGTAATACATATAAAAGTACTTAGTATTGTTAAGTGCTCAATCAATGCTGGCTAGTATTACTCAAGCACATGCTCTAAAGGGTTTCCCTCTGTTACTAGTCTAATTATCTCTGTAAAACTTAATTACTTAAGCATATGTTATGTATCAGTCAGGATAGTAGGTAGTTTATGCTGAATCACACTAACAAGGGCTTATTTCTTGTTCACCCTACATGCCCACTCTGCAGTGTTGTCAGGGGTCTGCCCATTATGGTCAGCCAAGGACACAGCTGATGGGAGCAGCCATCATCATTTTGTCAGGCTTGGGGAAAAGAGCTGGGGAAGGTCTCACACTCCACTTCTGCACAAAACTCATCACCAGAACTAGTCACGTGGCTGTACCAAATCACAGGGGGGCCAAGGTGACCAGTCCTACCATGTACCAGGAAGGCAGAGCTGGAAATGTTTGCCCAACAGGATTCTTGCCTACCATAGTTTACGCTGTGGCTGGTAGAAATAAAAATCAACCCACAAGAAGAGTCTTTGTTGCCCCTTTTAAATAAAGAAAGTGAAATAATTAATTTAAAAAAATTTGTTCCAGGGATTAATCAAAGCAAAGAAATGAAGAGCATGAAATTACCAAAATCTTTACTACATACTGTGGTTAACATTTTCCTCTTTGCTTATTGTGTTAAAAATACAAAACACTTGAGTGAAGTTCATCTGAAGCCTCTGGGGTATTAAGAAATTTTGATATTTCTGATACCAAAATTGTTTCCTTTTTTCTAAGTGTTGCTGTTAAACTAAGAAAATGCTCAGACTTAAAGTCCAGTGAACTCCTAGGCTATGCTACTAATGTTATATGAGATGAAAGATGAAAACTGAAACCAGGATAGAAGTACTATATTGTACTCACCATCTAATGTTTTATACTTCTCTTTATATATATATATATTTATATATATGTATTATTTATATATATAAATATATACACGCACATACTTTTTTATTTCTCTCTCTAGATATTGTCACAGTGTCTGTATCAACTTAGAGAAATAGAGAATAGAACACTTGATAATAAAAATCTAAGTGACAATATGTTCTCAGAATCACTTAGGAAAGTCGCTTAATCCATACATATGCTTAGGACAATCTAGTTTCACCTTAGTATGAAGCAAGTGATGACATTTTTTATGAAGTTAAAGGAAAACAACTTGCTAGAATGGGGACAAAAGCTCTGCAACCATCTCTCTGCCCTTACCTATGCCCCGTGACAGCCATGCAATCCATGTGGTAACACAACCAGGACAGAGTGAAACAAACCACCAACTACTGTCTGCCATGAAATGTTAGATCAGGATTAGATTTTCTAAAATTCCCTTCTGAAGTTACTTTCTTGCTTTTTCTGAGTTTTAGTGAACCATTTCCCAGTTCAATTCATTTATGAGTGGCTCACAATTCCCTTTACCAACTGTGCTATTTCACGAGTTTCCTATGTGTCTTCCCTACAACCCCAGTAAACACTAATATCAAAACATCATCAAAGAAGTGAGTTCCTTCTATACACAGCATCACCAGCAACAACAAAAAAATTCTATCTTCTCCAAAGAAAGGACAATGCATCTGCAGTATTTAAATACTTCTAATATTATAGTCAAATGTAGAACTTTAAAAATGTATTTCCAAAGCTAATTCCATTTCTTTCTACTTTACATATATAGGGAGTACTTCTATCAGGAAGAATGTGAGTTGAAGAGAAAATACCTTTTAAAAGCACGTGGATTTAGAATTCTTAAGGTTTCATGCCTTAGATTTAAGTCTGTTATCCATCTTGAATTGATTTTTGTGAGAGGTGAGAGGTGGGGGGCCAGTTTCAATCTTCTGCATGTAGCTATCCAGTTTTCCCAGCACCATTTATTGAAAAGAGATTCTTTTCCCCAGTGTATGTTTTTGTCAGCCTTGTCAAAGATTAGATTACCATATGCAGATGGTTTCATCTCTGGATTCTCAGTCCTGTTCCAGAGGTCAATGTCTCTGTTCTTGTGCCAGTACCAAGCTGTTTTAGTTACTATAGCCTGGTACTACAGCTTAAAGTCTGGTAGACTGATACCTCCCAGTTTGTTCTTTTTACTTAAGATTGCTTTGGCTACACAAGGTCTTTTCTGGTTCCATACAAAGCATATAATTATTTTTTCCAGATCTGTGAAGAATGATAATGGGATTTTGATAGGGATTGCATTAATTCTGTAGATCACTTTAGGTAGCATGGACATTTTAACGATATTGATTCTACCAATCCATGAGCAAGGTAGATTTTTCCATCTGTTTACATCTTCTACAATTTCTTTTTTTAGTGTTTTGTAGTTCTCCCTGTATAAGTCTCTTACATCTTTCATTCTAAATGAAGATGTTGGGAAGACCCTTTCAGACATTGGCCTAGGCAAGGAATTCTTGAAGAAGACCCCAAAGCAATCGCCGCAGCAACAAAAATAAATAAGTGAGATCTAATCAAATTAAAAAGCTTCTGCACTGCCAAGGAAACTATCACTAGAGTGAATAGACAGCCCACAGAATGGGAAAAATATTTGCTCTCTACACATCTGATAAAGGGCTAATAACCAGAATCTATCTAGAACTCAAAAAAATCAACAAGAAAAAATCAAACAACCCCATCAACAAATGGGCAAAGGAAATGAACAGAAACTTTTCAAAAGAAGACAGAATAATGGCCAGCAAACATATAAAAAAATGCTCAACATCTCTAATCATTAGAGAAATGCAAATCAAAACCACAATGAGATATCACCTAACCCCAGTGAGATTGGCCTCTATCAAAAAATCCCCAAACACCAAATGCTGGCGAGGATGTGGAGAGTCAGGCACACTCTTACACTGCTGGTGGGACTGCAAATTAGTGCAACCTTTGTGGAAAAGAATTTGGAGATACCTCAGAGAGCTAAAAATAGAAATACCATTCGATCCTGCAATAGCACTATCAGGCATCTACCCAAAAGAGCACAAAACAGTCTACGATAAAGACATCTGCACCCAAATGTTTATGGCGGCACAATTCACTACTGCAAGGATGTGGAAACAACCCAAGTGCCCGTGAATCCATGAGTGAATTATTAAAATTTGGTATATGTTTACAATGGAATATTACTCAGTCATAATAAACGACAGTGATCTAGCACCTCTTATGCTTTCCTGGATTAAACTTAAGCCCATTATCCAAAGTGAGGCACCACGAGAGCAGAAGAACGGGATCCACTTGTACTTGCCATCAAATTGGTACTAACTGATCAACACTAGGTTGATCACATGGCAGAAATATTCTCTAGGGATTAGGGGGGATGGGGGGCAAATCTACAACTAAAGGACACGGGGAGCACTAAAGGGAGGGAAGGGCATGCCTTTAACCTGCACATGGGTGAGGCAATGACATAAAGTGTAACTATAATGTTTGTACCCTCACAATACCCTGGAATAAAAAAAAAAAAAAAGTGCAATAAACAAATAGACTCAAAATAAAAAAAAAAAAAAAAAAACACGTGGATTGTTTTTGTCAGCTAAACTCATTTGCTGGGGAGTGATAGGACATGAATACTTTAAACTTCATTTCCATTTCCTGGTGGTAAATAACTGCCTAACTTATTGACGGATAGCAAATATGTAAAACAGGAGTAACAACTTAAAAGAAACATATTGTAAGTTTAAATCTCATTTTCCCCCCCTTTTCCAAGGTCCAGCATCAGAAAGCATACCTCATGGGAACCCTCAAAAGTAAGATTTCCTCTTCTGTGAGTGTGAAGCTGTAGGGTTGTTTCATAATTAGCTTTCAGGTTACCATTAGTAGCTGCTAATTCCAGATTTTAAGTCCTTATTTGTGAAAAGTATGATTTAGTGGGACAGAGGGTATGTTCAAAGAGGCTCTCCAGACAATTTTGTTACATAACAAAGTCTGAGAATCTCAAACTACAGCTTTCTACCCTAAATTATAAAGAACACTAAACATTATAGAAAAAACAGCAGAAATACTAAAATTTGAGGACATTGTACATGTAGTTTTATTAATGACTCCTGATTAAAAAAATAATAATTTCAAAGGAAAAGATGCTGAGAAAACAAAGACATAATTTCTGCACAATTGTCAGTCATACAGTTAATTCAGAAGTTAGGAAAACAATACCAAGCTAGACAACATATTTATTGACTTATTTCTAATTGCAATACCCACCTTTGCACAAGAGATTAGTAAAATTATAGTACAGATCAAGTTCCCCAAATCATTTTCAAAAGACATGATCAATACCAAATATTAGTAGCTAAAAGATCAGAGATTTTTGTGGCTTAAGAACCTTCGTACATTGAGAGCTCCAACAGAGGGAAAAAGCAAATAATATCAACACAGTGGCTCATCAGAAGATTGTATCTTCTAATATGTGCAAAACAAAAGCATCTATGTTATTAATATCATCCTCCTTCAAGCTTTTAGGGAATATGAGGTCAAACTAATAATCAGTGATAAGAGACATATCATTGTCACATACTGAAACTCAATCAAGACTAATCATGCTGAGACTCATTGTTACTTTTTTCTTTAGGTCTAAAAAACTTGTATACTCTAATTATTTTAAGCATTTAAATATAGATTGTTTCTCCCGGTTTTACTATATCACTGTAGAAATAAATCCCCAAAGTAGCAATTTCTTGCAACATGGATCAGAAATGCAAATATCACCTAAAATTTAAACATATACAACACACATACACACACACATATACATATTTATTTTCAGAGGATATACCAAAGCTTAAATAAAAATAGATAATAAAAACATTTCAGTTATAGAAAGTGAAAGTGCCACTTCAGCATAAGTTTACTTTTGTGTTTATTTTACAAAAAGACTTGAGAATACTTGAGGAACACTATACAACGATAGAGAGCAACCTTTTCAGCCTTTGTTTCTTTCTTCTTTAAATATAGATGTTGACAGAAAAGATGGATTAGATGCAGTCCACTTTTTCCTCAGTTGGCTGACTTTTTAGAGGATTATAAACCATGAAACTAAACTGAGTAAATGTTGAAAGTTTATTGCAAGCAGCACCTGGGGTCATAAAATGAGAAAGTGGTTTGGTTAGACATAGGATGCACATATTTACAACCAATACACACACTGCTTATTGCCTGGATATTGGCCACTGTACACCTTCTGTCTAACTGAGCCACACAGAAGTATACTAGTGTCATCCTCCCTGGCACTCAGCAGTGACAGTCCGTGAGAGGAAAGAAAGGTAGTGGGCAAGTCATCTCTTTGAACTTCAGATAACTGGCTGACTTTTTTGCACTATATACACGCTGTCATTGTTACTGTTATTTAACTGTTTTCGCATCCTTTCCTTAGAAAAAATTATCCAGGCACATTCCAAAACCTTTATTTCCCTCACCACAAAACATTCCCATCAATCACCCATAACCACCCCCCACCCCTGCTCCCTGTTCTTTTCTACCTTCTACTCTCACAGAAAGCCAGAGGAGCTATTTGTCAAGATGATTTCTGTTTAGTCAAGTTCATCTTCTTTAACTCAAATACCTGCAGGGTGGGGGAGCGGAGGGGTCCCCTTCTACTGTCATTACTTTTAATACAAAGAATTAGTCAATTTTAAATTCAGCTGCAATTATATAATTATCATTTTCCCATTCCGTTAAATCCAACTTCGAGCCTTCTAATAAGGTTTATTTCTTAAGAGGGAATCAATAAAACTGACTTATATTATACCTAAAGCCTTTCCCCCTCATAACTTTTATCGACTTTTGTGTCTTAGTACTTAAAAAAGAATAAAGTATTCTTCAAACAAGTTTTTCAAATACAGAACTGTGGGAAGTAAAAGATCAAAGAACAATAATAAGCAGTCTAACCTAATAAGTCATATTGATCAGTAAGCTGTATATCCTCCTCATCTGAAAAGTCACTAATGAGCATCAGCAGTGGTTGATCTTAAAACGCTTTGAAACTGTGATAGGCTCATATGGAAAGTGAATGAAGCAAACGACATGCCTCCAACACAGGGCAAAAATAATTCTGCTAACCTCTTTGGTTTACTAATTAGTAATACATTTTGTTCTTTGGAGCTCCAAGAAGATCTAAATGGCTGAGACATTTAAATAACGAACAGAAAAGAAATAGCGAAGATAATTTATCCCGCTCTACTTCTAATTAGTAAAAGCATTTGCTAGATTAGCCCATCTCATCAGGTACTGGAGCTGACGCCAACCTTCATCTGGGACAGAAGTGAAAGATAAGAACTAACAGCCAAAGACTGGATCACGGCTGCCCGCAGTCCCCCCCACAGGGTTTTAGGTATATTTTTAACACTTCGTGGGTCTTCACAGATCATCAATTAACATTTACCCAGTGCCTACTCTATGTTATCCCTTCTTCCACTGGATATAGTGTATCATACACTACAGTATTTAAAAGTGCATGTTTTATAAACATTTGTAAGCTCACAAAGATAAGAAATTCAAACACAACTTACCATAACTTCCAGTCACATTGGCACATATGACAGCCCCAAAGAACTTGGGATAATACTTCTGAATTCTGGAAATCACTTTCTGGCAAGCTATGGTTGGATCTTCTCCTGTTCTCATATATTCTACAGCTTGGTAGCTGATTTAAACAGAGGTGAAACTTTAGTATCACAGAATAAATAATATAATAACTCCAAACAAGGTTACTTGAAGTTAGAAATTTAAAACCACCGGCACAGTCACAAGTGACAGAATACATAGAAATGGACAGGAGTCAGTAACTCCTATTAAAGCATCGACAAAGCAAGTAAACCTTGATATAATGTCTATCTTTTCAACTAATCCACCCATTCATTTCAGATGAAGACTATTATTTTTGGCTTTAGCTGAATAACCGTCACTTAGTAACAATAGCCAGGAAGTCATAGCCAATAGAAGTTATATTTAAATGAAAAAAGAAGCTACTAAGGGGAAAACACTGCACATGTGTAAAAATCTAGTTGTAGTAATTAAATGTACACAATGACTGCAACTTTCTACTTTTATCATCAATTACCACAGCTCCTTTACTCAGTAGCTTTACATCAATTATTTAAGTAGGTCCTAAGTATTCTCACCTGTGAAGAAGGGCGAGCAATACTATTATGTTTCAAAGGACTATGATTATTTGAGTGATTATGGTTATTAAAATGACAGGTAGAAAGTTTGTATGCAGTTTCTAACATGCTCCTGTGCACACGAATTCAGATTACATGTGCAAAAATTATTTCCTATCTTGACAGAAAATACCTAAGGGTCCCTCAAATTCACAGGTGTAAGAAGTCGTACCTTGGTAGAAAGCGCATCAATACATCACCATCTCCGGTGGCTGCAGCTGCCCCTGCGGCATCATCAGCGTAGGCCCCAGATCCGGGGACCGGCGAATCTCCTATGCGGCTTTGTGGGGCAGAGCATAATGCTTTAGGACAGGAAATCAAGCGTGAGCTAAATTATGTCAAGAGCTGTTTCAAAAATAGGGGATATTTCCGCTTAGCCACTGATTATCATTCTAAGTAAATTCTTCACCAGAACACAGAGAGAAAAGGTTTTCGTTAGTTTTTCAACGTAGGTTTTAGGTTTCCACAAACCTATGTTAACTATACAACAATTTGTTATCAGATGTGGAGTGCAAAAAAGTTGAACTTAGAGATTAAAATGGTGGTTCCCAGAGGCTAGGGGTTGGGGGGATTGGGGAGATGTTGGCCAAAGGACACTAAGTTTCAGTTAGACGGGAGGAATAAGTTCCAGAGCACTACTGTATGTATATCATGACCACAGTTAATAACAATACATTCTACATTTGAAAATTGCTAAGAGGGTAGATTTTAAGTGTTCTCACCACAAAAAAATAGGTATGTGAGGCATTGTACATGTTAAGTAGTTTGATCTAGCCTTTCCACAATATATACATGTATCAAACCATCATGTCGTATACCATAAATATACACAATTTTTATTGTCAATTAAAATAATTAGTTAATAAAAAAGAATTTATCCGCCAGTTATACACCAAGATGGCAGAGACTTATAGTGACTCATCTTTTATTACCATTCTTTATCATCTAATTTTTGGACCATCTCAACTGGTTCAGAATTGGTTTCCCTCACTTATAATCTATTCCTGCTTCCTATGTAACGTGCCAAACTTTTACCAATTTTTTTCTAGGAAGAAACCTTTAATGCTTTTCTACTCTTTCAAGATAAAAGCCAGAACTCCTTAAACAGACTTAAGACACCCTGAATCTAGCTCAAGTCCTCCCTTGCAGGCTTATTTTCCACTGCTCCCCCCACCCCACCCTGCCCTCACGTACACAGTTTCCTTCCCAGCCAGCAGGATCCCTGAACCCGAAGTGTGCACCACTCTGTATCTGCTAGTCCCTTTGCCTGCATGTTCCCCTCTCCCGTCTGCGGACTCAGGGCTCAGCTCCTAGCATTACCTTACTGGCTTTCCTAACTACCCCAGAGTAAACAGATCACCTCCACCGCCCCTGAATTCTACAGCACTGGCTGTGAAGCCCTTTCCTTGGGCACTCAGCAGAGAGTATAGCGTTTGCTTTCACACTTATTTATCTCACCTGTGAGGCTAGGGCTGTGCTTTCCAACGACCCCCACCCCACCGCCCCCAGCACCTAGCACATATTGCTTTACACTCAATGTTCACTGCAGTGATCTGTTCTTTTGGAAACACTAACCCAGGTATTTTGAATTTTAAACCATTTGTAGATGTACCAGCAGCAGTGCGTCCCGTCTTATGGATTACAACCATGCCTGGAAGTTAAAAAAAACAAAACAAAACATTGTAGATACCTAAAGTTTACCTCAAATATAACCAAATAATTGAGGAGCGGGTAACTGCTATGGTCTAAATGACTGGGTTCCCCCAAATTTATATACTGAAATCCTAATTGAGAAGGTGACAGTATTAAGAGGTGGGACCTTTGGAAGATGATTAGGTCACGAGGGCAAGCCCTCATGAATGGGATTAGCATCCCTATAAAAGAGGCCCCAGAGAGCTAGCTTGCTCCTTCCACCACGTGAGGACACAGTGAGCAGGCACCACCTATAGCCCAGCAAACCGGCCCCCACCAGACTCTGAATCTGCCGGTGCCTTGATCTTGGACTTGCTAACCTCCACAGCCGTGGGAAATAAACTTTGTGGATAGCCACCTTATCTGTGGTATTTTGTTATAACAGCCCAAACTGACTAAGAAAGTAACATAAATATACTCCTTTGTTAATTTTAGGTAGCAGAAAACAAAAAAATTGGGCATACGGAAAATTACACCAGTGGCCAATTTGTGGTTTTTAACGTCCTGATTTCACAGCATTGCTTGGCAGCCATTCCACATCCTCTTACTCTCCTAACTGCTCAGGTACTGTTCAATACTGTTTCAAAGGTAATTCCAAAGAAAATCACTGATACAGACTGCTAAGGTCTGAATGTGTCCCCCAAAAGTTCATGTTTTGAACACTTAATTGCCAGTTAAACATTGTAAACAGGTGGAGGCTTTAAGAGGTGATTGGAGTGCTGTTATCTGGGGGAGTGGCTTAGTTATCACAGGAGGAGGTTCCTGATAAAAAGGATGAGTTTGGCCTGATTCCCTCTCTCTGTCACGCCCTTTTGCCTTCAGCCACGGAATAACACTCGCCAGATGCTGGCACCATGCTCTTTAAGTTCCCAGTCTCCAGACCTGTGAGCCAAATAAGGTTTTACTGTTTACAAATTACCCAGTCTGTAGTATTCTGTTATAGCAGCAGAAAATGAACTAAGACATAGACAAATGCAAATTTTCAACATTACAGCTTGGAAAAAATTATTTAAGGTCACTTGAATATGGCAAACATAAAATTATCAAAAACCTAAATATCAAATAAAGACTTAAAAATCTATAAGTCAATAGTCACTGAATTTTTGGGGTCTGATATAAATAATTTACAAAATTGTATACAGATGCTAAGATAACATCTATCTATCTATCCAGGGGGACATACTTACTTGGCAGTTAAAACATTCAAAATCAACATCTGGTGCACGAACAGGGATGAAGAGGATCTACAGGAAGGCAATTAATTAAACGTTAACCATAAAAACTGTACAAAAGGCAAATTACCAATAGTGTCATGACCACGGTCATCTCTTGTTTCTTTATAGGTAGGAGCATCCTGCTTTAAGATACTAGGTGGTTTGTAGGGTCCACAGTATTTTGAGGCATCTGGTATAACATTCTGTAAACAAGATTTAAGTTTTATTACTTAGAAAGTGTGTTTTTAGAAATTGGCAAGTAGCTACATACAATCACCAACTACCAGGAAGAAACCAAAAAAGACATCTGGTAACTTAAATAATTAAAAGCTAAGGATTAACTAAGTCTTACATGAAAACAGATGGATATATAATTTTGCTAAATACCCATTCTAGACTCAAAATTACATAATATGGGTTAGATATCTATACTGTATGGAATAGGTCCCCAATTTTCATTTCATATACCTAAAATTCTCAGTACAGTGGTTGATACAAATGAAGACTTTTTAAAAATTAGATATTAATCCTCAAAGGAATTAGGTGCACACTTGACTTTTAAATTTCAGAATTTGTTCCCTGGCCAAAGAAGAATTCTGAGATTTAATGTAAGTTGGTATTAAAATCTTTTTTTTCCCTCAAAGCTAGGTTTATGTGCATATATTCTAAATTGTACTGTAAGATTCCTTTATAAATCTTAAAGACTCAAGACTATAATCCAAATTCATAAATTTAGGCTATGTATATAGATTGGTATTAAAGCAAGAAACCTATTATTCGTGCCTTACACATTAGTGCACGAGGTGCCTCCCCTAATCTAATTTTATGATTAGCCTCTTTCAAGTACTAACTCTAGTGACTCCTGACTCCTTGGTTACTCAGAGGTATTTAGGACTTAAGGAAGAAACAGATGAGAGACTAAGATATCCCATAGAAGGACCCTGTATGGCAAAGGCAAACTGATTTATGCTAAAAGTCCTATTAAAGGCAAATTATCCTACTAGTAACATACTAGACATCTAACAGTATAAATCCTCAAGTCAAATAAAGACAAGATACCAGATATACTGCACAAAGATAAAATCTAAGAAATACGTTAGACTAATGGTTTCCCAACTTTGATTTTTCTTGGACTTTGTTACAATAGAAGCAGAGCAGTTCAGATTGAGGCAGCCCCCTCTCCATAGCAGAACCTTCACATTTTGAAAACTACTGCCAGAGACCAGTAGTTCCCCACCGTGGATGTGCATCAGATATAGTTAGGGAGCTTTCAGGAACATCCATGCCCAGAGAGTCAACTTAAATCATTGGTTCTAATGTGCAGCCAGGACACTAACCGGGACCCTAGACAACAGGTAGGCAACAGAGAGCAGAAGGGATGTCACTCAATATTTTCAGATAATTTGCCCTTTAAAATTAAATATGTTTACCTACCCTCCAATAATTTGGCTGGCAATTCCGAGCAAGCCAATCTGAATGAAGAGCTTGAGAAACATTAGTAGATAAGTCCTCATTGATAAACCCCATGCTTTCAGCAAACTTGGTGGCTGGAGATTGGGAAGAAAAGTATAAATTAATCAAGTATCATCTTTTAAACAAAATATATGTACTGGAGATGTTCTATGTCAACTGTCTCTTAAGTGGGGTACACAAAGACATCAGGGGGACACACAAAGACTTTCAGGGAGTCTTCAGACTTGAACAGTTTTAAGGGAATCAGTTTCTAGATCTTCAGCTTTCATATGTGCTTCCTAAAACTGATCTGCTTGAGACCCTTGGGGTATATGTTATGACAGTCTCCTTTCCTACTGCATCTGCACATCTTCCTCCTGCCACTTTACAAAAGAAAAGGCACACTTCTCACCAGGACTGACTCTTATTCCACTGATCAGTGTGCAATGCCTAGGGTGTAAAAAACTTTGAGACACCAAATGGATTCCAGTGAATGGTACCAGATCCTTTTACCTGTCAGGTAGTTTCCAATTCTGTACATTCAACAAAATTGAAGGGAGCCTAGTGGAGTTGTTAGATCATAGATCATTAACAGTAATTTTTGACTACAGGTCACAATTATGATTTTTGGTATATAACTTGGAAGGCATTCAAATAATTGACACTGCTATAACAAAACTCCTTTCGTTCCCATCTTAAAGATGAAGAAAGTGAGATTTGGAAGTTAATGAGTTAAACAGATGTTAAGTAAAAGAGCTGGATTTGAACTTACATCTGCTTTTATCCATTGTTTTAGACTGAGTCCTGTTTTTCACAGTGAAGACTACAGACAGAACCCTAGAAAAAATTTCAGTATTGTTAACAAATACCTGACTCTCCTGCTAAAAGTGTGTGTGTTGTATGTTCCAGTACTTTCCGTGCCACACCAATAGCATTTTTAATTCGTCTAAGATCTCCTACTGCTCCTACATCCATAGTAGTGCTGCAAGAAAAAATGCAGTAAGATTCATTAAGGCGTTTTCATAGGTTGATAGAGAAAATATTTCTTTTCTCCAAGCCAACAGTGTTTTGTAGGATCAACTCCCTCATCTTAACACAAAAGTGACAAGATATTCATGAAGTTCATACAGATTCCCACAATCAGACAAAATTAAGGAAAAAATAGAAAGATGGTATATTTACCATATACCCCAACAGCACTAAAATTCTCAGTTTCTCCTAGCTCATTTTAAATATGACTTTTGAAAGGGGTTGTAAGGCTCCAAATCAGGCAAAACACAGGGCTTGTGGGTGGCAGGTATACAGTTATTTATAAGGTCAGAGACATACTGCTGTAGCTTGGGATTCGCCCTGTTCTAAGGAGACAACCTACTTCTGTGTGATATTTCTATTACTATGATGATTTCTTTTTTTCATTTGAGAGGGAAACTCTTTGTGTCTGGAAAGGCCAAGTACAATAAGCTAGGGGTTTTTATCTGTGACAAAACTCATGTATTCTTCCGTCTTGCTCTCAGTGGAAGACCACAACTCCAAATGTAACTCAACACGAAATGAAAGTACAGAGATAAATAGGTCCTGAAGAGTGTTCTCACCCATCCATGATCATAGCATCTAGCGTGGTCTCTCCAAGTTCATCAGGACTTCCTCCAAAGCCCACAGTGCCATCACACTGCTCTCTCTCGCACGTGGCGCAGCCTCTCTCTACTGCATCCAGGGTCGAGCCTCCAGAGACTAATGTCTTCCATGCTGTTAATAAAATCCCAATAACGTTTCTTTATATTTACATATTTTTCCAATGTCAAATGCAACAAGCCAAAAACGTTTTGTGAGCTGCGATTTTTAAAAACTTTTCCACATTTACTCCAAGTTAAACTGAATTTTTAACAAATTAGTTTATGAAGTGTTACAAAGAAGTCAAAGTGAAATAGACAAATTATATAACTAGTTACCATGAAGAATTCAAAGACTTTGGCTAATGGTTCAAAGTGAGAGTTTCTTCATTGATTAATACCTAGTTTTCTGTGTTTGTGAGAAAAGAAATAAGTATCTTCTCCTTTATTTTAAAAGGTACAATCAAAACTACTAAAAAGCAGTCAAATTTAAAATCTGCTAAATCACAGCCTTATAAATTTCTAATTCAAAAGATTATTAAAAATATGCATAATACTTTTATTGAGGTAACACCTATCACAGTTAAGTCTCAATAATACTGTAACAGGAAATAAATAATTACACCATGGGCTTTATATGGATTGATCTATTTAATTTTCATAACAGCTTTTGAGGTAAGTACTGTGCAATTACTGTTCTTAAAGAAGAGGAAACAAAGCCGGAGAGGTTAAGTAATTTGCTCAAGGTCACACAGCTAGTATGCAGCAGAGCCAGGATTCAACAGTAGCCACTTTGGCTCCAGTGTCCACGCTTCTAGCACTATGCTATGTTCTGTGGACTCTCGTACATTGGGGGAAAAAGTCTTCAAGGGATAATTTCTTTACAGATGAAAACAGAATTCCATGAAGAGTAGTTGGTATTGTTGGCAAACACTTTAAGCATCTCTTAAGCATGACTACTGTACTGTCAGGCTTGAAAGTATACTTAGAGACGTTCCGCCTTTCAAAAGCAACAACTTACACAGAATTGTCCCCTGCCCAGCCTGCTGCACTTTCTTTCCATCATTATCCCTGGGAATATCTTTTTCACAGCCTGTTTCCTCATTTTCTCTGAATCGTATGCACTGCCTATATAACACACAAATGTAGGTTCACCAAGTTCTGGGGCCAATTCTGCCCCAGAAAGTTAGAGGGGTCTGAAATTACTCATGTAGTAGTAGGCCTTGAAGCGAATGAAAGAAACAGCACAGTAAAATGCAAAAATGCCAAGACAGTGGTTACGTACAGGATAATAAAGCACAGAAGAGAGGAACCTAACTCAGCTTGGGCTTGAGGGCAGTAACTCAGGGAAGCTGCCTGGGAGAGGTGATACCTTAGCTTAGTGGTTCTCGACCCCAACTACAATTCAAAATCACCTATGGAGCTTTGTAAAAAAACACAGATGCCCTGATTCCAGCAGTTAAATCACAATCTAAGGGGGTGGTGCCCGGGCAGGACGATTTTTGAGAAGCTCCGCGGATCATTTTAATGTGTAGGCAAGGTTGGAAACTCGCATTCTAGGTGGCAAGTACCGCATGGCATGTCAGCATGTAGCAAAAAAAGTAAATGGGAAAAAGAGTGCACTACGGTTGGGAAATTATTAATCGTTTGTAAAATTGGAGTACAGAGTAATGCAGAAATGTGAGGGATTAGAAATAAGAGGTGGAGAAGCAGACAGCCCTTGGAAAGACCGGGTTGTAGGCAAAAGGTGTTGGTGCCAGTGGAAAAGTAGAAGCAAAAGGCCGTAACTTTGAGGGCAGCAGCAGGGTGGAAAATATACCGGCGCAGGGGACTGCACACGGGGAGTAAATGGTCAGGACCTAAAATGCAGCAGTGGCAGGGAGGACGGAGTAAAAGGTCGACTCCAGGAGACGCAGCGACGCTGAGACCGCCGAGGCGCGGCCTAGGCCGGCTCTTGCCCGCCCTCCTGGCAGCGCGCCCTCGGCGGGGCCAGCCGGCCGGTCCTGCCCTACCCGCGAGCTCTCGCAGTGCAGCCCCCGCCCCCGGCCGCCGCCCCGCACCTGCTTCGGTTGCATTCTTAAAAGGCCAAGTGTTGAGGACCAGGGGCAGAGGGCTGCCGCCGCGCACTAGGGCTGGACCGAGCAGGAGCGGCACAAGTAAGAGAGGCAAATTTGACTTCCGCGCCATAGCTGCGCGCCGAGCGGACCAGCGCCACAAAGGTCGCGGCCGCGCAGGGAACCCCCGCAACCCGCTCTCGCAGAACTCGTGATCCGCAGGGCCCCGCCCACCTCCCTCGGGTCGCGGTCAGTGCTCCCCCAACTCTCGCGAGGTGTGTTTTCGGGGCTCGCGGGGCGTTCTGTCCGCTACGCTAGGGCGATTCTTCCTCGGTGATATGCAGATTTTTTTTTTTTTTTTTACATAGTCCTCCAAAGTGTCTCTTTCTCTGTTATAGGTACGTTGAGCTTGGTATTGGAAAATTAGTATGAAATTACCCAACTCTGGGTTGCATGACCCTAGGAACTTCAGGTAATTACTGTGTACCATTAATTTGGTTTTGACTTATCGTTTTCATTTTAAATTGAAGTTGAAAAGTTTGCCAAACCCCAAATGCACTCTCTGGGATTCCTGGCCTCAGAGATCTGGGATGGTTATTGAGTGTAGGTCAAGCATGTTGGCTTACGACCAGATTTTTTTTTTTTAGATTTTTTTACCCCTCTCAAGCCTTGCGTCATTTTCCCCGCAGCGTTTTGTAGGTCGTCCTTGTAATAAATCCCTGAACTGGAAGAAAAGGAGAACCAGTGTGGGAAAGTAGAAATTTACCCTTTGCATAGCTCACTGAATTGCACCTTCCTGCACCTCCAGGGCAAGAAGGCTACCTCCATTCCTTTTTCAATGTATTTTACCTTAATAGTGTCTGGCACTATTAAGTGCTAAATAAATGTTCGAATAAAAGGAGGAATGGAGACTTTACATGTATGATAGAGGCTGCTCATTTTGATAGTTGCTGGGCAGTTGCGCGAGGGTGAACCAATCCCTTTTGGGATTCTGGCATGCCTGCCCGTGTTGCCAAAGGAAGACAACGCAAATAATTTTTAAGAACATCTGTAAATCTATCAGACTTTTAAAATATGAACTATGTAGGAGTTGTGGGGCTTAGAAAACCTTCCTTATTGCTAGGAAATTATGTAATTTAAACAGCATAAGATAGCCTTATAAACAGCATAATAGAAGAATTACCCCAAGGCAGGGAAGGGCTATTAAAGTTAGGTGTCATTGAAGAGAAATGTTACGAGTTCCTTCTGTGGGATTTTGGAGAAGGAACTAGTCATTTGTGACGGGATAATCAGCATAGGGGCATGCCAAGTGAAATTTGAAAGGGGAAATGGTGAAAAAGCAAGAAAAATATACGTTGTGTTAGGTAGATAGTGAAGGATGGCGGGTCTCCTAGGGATGAAAGTGGAGGCTATTGCCTCCATCTGGGTCCTGCCCCACCCTAATTCTCCACACCTGGGGGAGGAGGGCATACTCTAGGAATCTGCCAATCAAAACTTGGCCCCAGCTGCAAAAGCTTGCAGAGGACTCTCTAGCCCACAGGCCAAGCGGGCGTAGGGACCATAGAGTCCAGAAGGAGACCTAGAACCCACATGCGTAGTTAAGGCTCAGGTCATGTGATTCCTAACTGTCCAATCAAAGTGGGTCCATGTGACCTCTGCATCACGGGGGCGGTCCCTATCTCGGCATTATAAAATGAGGCACGGACAGTAGTCTCGCTGATTTGTCCTTCCTTTTGCCTGCCCTGCTGCTGCTGTGGGTCCAGTCATCATCTGTGGTATGTACCATGCTCTGTAAACCTTTATCTTGCTCTTGCCCTATAATACTACATTTCTCTCCTCAATAAATCTCATTTTCATGCTTGCCTAACTTTGGCGTGTCTGGTCATTCTTTGGCCATGAGCACGCCAAGACCTGACAGTTTCAGACTGAAACCTAACAATTGTACTCTGAATTAATTTTCCTTAGCACCTGAGCTGAGTATTATTTATACAGCCTAAGGAACTGAGATATGCCTTTAGCAAAAGTTTGTAATACAATACATGAAAATTGATTTCACTGTCCCTTGCTGTTCTAGCTTTTTCCTAGTTTTTAAGGTTTTTGTGTTTCTTCTGGCTGAAAGAGCCTGAACTCTTACTGCCTATGTCTATTCCTTTCTCCAAAATTCTTTCTCCTTACTCGAAATCAAAATTCCCGTCAGAGAAGTTCACCTCATCTATTGGTTAGAAGAAAACAGCTAAATTATACCATAGTGGGAATGTCGGAGAGAAAGTCTCAATATGTCAACTTTCCCATGGACATTTGTATTTAAAATAATTAACATGTAATCCCAAAAGAACCTATCCTGTTTGGTGTCCTCTTAGTGGCTATTAATATACCCACTGGGTCTACTCTCCAGTTCACCTAAACTTACTGTCATTTCTCTAGCTGTGTCTTAAAGAAGTTAAATTAGTCTGGGTTCCTTCTGGAATAATTTTTCTTTAAACGTAAAGGATAGTTTGTGTTTTAGTCTTGGAAATAACCTCATGTTACTCTCAGTTAGGTTTTCATTTGGGCCCAAATATAACTGGGTCCTTCTGCTTTATTTTGAGGTAAATTAAATGAAAAGGGACCTCTGCTAACACATAGTAGACCTTTAGAAAATAGGCCACAGTTTTCCCAGTATCCTCTCATTTTCCATTCTTTAAAATCATTGATTATACATAACAATAGAATTATGTAGTGTTAGTGATAAATCAAAAGAACTAAATATAAAAATTTAAATTTAGAATGTATTACACATTTTTTTCGTGAAATGTTTATGTTCCTAAATAGAACTTACATAACTAGCAATATTTCAGAAGGATTCTCAAGACCCGGATTTTAAAATTAAGGGTGACAACTGTCAGCTGTGGTTAACTCACATATTCTTCCTGAGCCACACTTTCCTCATCTATAAAATGAAGGTAATAATAGTGTTCTTTCTTTACAAAGCTAAAGAAATGAGATGTGAGAGAGAAGTAGAGTACTAGGCAAATTAAATAAAATTCCATTGTTTTAATTGGCATTTACCAAGTATAAGGGAGGGAGCAGTCCCGAAACATATGAAACTGCAAAAAGAAATCAATCTAAGATTTGAGAAATTTCCACAGGAATGCTAAAGAGTTGGCCAGGTACCTGTAAAGCCTTTTAAAGTAAGCACTTAGAATTCCCTTGACTGTATTAAATGGGAGTTAAAAATAATGTTTGCAGTCTACTTTGAGCTGTCTAAAAATTCGGTTTAAATGTTTATAAACATGGTGCATGGCAGGGTTTGTGAGATTTCTGGATGTCTTAGAAACAGCATCTTCAAGTCTTACCAAGAAGAAAACCTCAAACGGAAACTTAAATGATGTTACAAATAAAGTCTCCCCCTGTGTGTGTCTCTGTGTGCGCGCGCATTGTGTGCAGTGTTTTGGGCATTGTGTGCAGTGTTTTGGGGGCTGGGAGAGAGTTGTGGGCAACTGCAGGCTCCCCTCCATTTCCTCTAAACTTGATGGCTTTCAATTTACCAGTCTCAGACAGATGAAGAGTTGAGTCTCTCCTGATAGCATTTGAAGCTGTGCTTCCACAGAGGATTTAACGCTGTAGTTGCAGGGAGTCTAGTATTTCAATTCTGAGGCTTAAAAAACTAAGCCATCCCCTCCGGCTTTTGCATTGATGCTGTGAAATCCATTTGAGAAACATGCCCATGTTTTGCTACTTGTTCAAAACTGTAAGCGTGACTTGGCATGGAAATAATAATTTCTTTTTCAAAACTCCCCACTGAACTATTACCTGGGTTATCTAAATATAGGCTAGTTATTTGATTGGCATTTGCTCTTGTCAGTTTCACAAACTAAGTAATGATTTTTGTTGATGTTAGAGCATTGTGGTACTGTTTCTAATTTAAATCCAGTTTCACATTAATCCAGGAGCACTTGATGTTACCTGATTGTACATTCTGAGTGTTATTAGAGTCATTATACAGAAATAAGTGTCATCTTATTATTCTCTAAATGAGAAAAGAGTATTCTTCTATTCTGAAATAATTTTTCTGGGTCATGACCCCCAAACCATTTGTCAAATCAATAGCAGATTCAAATCACAAACTTTTTTGACTTTTTAACCTTTAGAAGTCATCTTTGTGACTTATAAAGCCCAAGATTATATAGTAGAATTGGCCTATTAAGTGATTTCTTCCCAAAATAAGTTATGTCCAACATAATTTGAATGTGTAATTGTGATACTGGGGCATTGCTATAATAAAGTTATCATAACAAGAATATAGATTATTAAACATGGTGGAACTTGCTTTTTATGACAATTGTTTATAACATTATGTCTTCATAAATGTAATTCATTACAATAGTGAAAGCCTAGGGCAACGGAACAGACTTCATGAAGTCTTCCTACCACTTTAAAAATCACTTCGACATTGTTAACTAGTGTCACAGATGATTTTAATAAGGAAATTCAATAATAAAAAGTAACAACTTACAGTACTTTATCCATTTCAAATTTCCATTTGTTGATCATAATTTAAATGGAAAAATATTCTAATAATGAACACGTGTCCTATGTGTTAACTATGCAAATAGTCTGTTATTTCCCAATAGTTAACGTAAAGAATTAAAAGGAAAAATTATTTTACATGTGACTTAGCAACTTTTTTCATTTTTTAGAAACATATACGGGTGATTCAAATACCTCTAAGTACTCTATCCCTTATTGAAAATCACCAGCCTCTTAACATATTGGTATGTATCTGTTGAAAAATCTTGGTAGCACACACACTGTTGTATAACCTCTTTTATTACATCTTTTAACTCTTGTTATTAAAATTTATTTTTAAACCATTTTTGTGAAATATACAGAAAAGGGCATAAAACATATAGAGATTAAAGAATTTTGTAGAAAATGAGCACCCATATAATCTCCACTCATGTCAACAAATAGAATACTTTCAGCACCCCAGAAAACCCCTAATTACAGCATTTTTTAAAAGACTTTATTTTATAAGAGCAATTGTTGATTCACAGTAAAATTGAGCAGAAAGTACAAAGATTTCCCATATACGCTCTGGCCCCCCATATGATAGCCTCCCTCATTGTCAGTATTCCCCACCAGAGTGGTATGTTTGTTAACTGATGAACCTACATTGACACATCATTATTCCTCCAAGTCC